GGAGACCGTGCGGGGGGGGGGGGGGTGGCTGTCTCAACTGTGGGGTGAATTAGTGGAAATCAGTGCAACCTTATATGTGAGTACTAGCACCTTTTTAGAATACAAAAAAGTGCTGTATTCAGAGATTGTCTGGAGAATATTTGATGTCAAAATTCAACATCAGGTTTTTCTCACACCAGTTCATTTCCTCTTGCCTTCTAGGTTTGAGGTTCTTGAGAGCACTCAGGCTGTTAGAGCTTCCAAAGATATTACAGTTCCTCCAAATCATAAAGAGTGGGTAAGCCAAAATCTAATCCTCTAGTCTTTCCTTTAACTAACCTATCCCCTTCTCCCTCTGAATTTTGGCAGGTTTAGGAATAGGGATGATTCTGAATTTCTCTTCAATGCATAAATAAATAGGAGCCTTTTAACCTTAAAGATTAATGAAATGCTATTCCAGCATAAGCCTTCATAGAGCCCACTTCCTCAGATGCAATGGATCATGCTGTGTGCCTTCTAAGCTGAGTTAGTGTGAGCTAGCTCACACATTTTTGCCTTAGCTCAGGAAGGATAGCTCCAGAGCCAACTAATGTATGTAGTAGCCAAATTGCTTGCTCACAACTTTAATGCCAGTAGCTCACAAAGTAGAATTTTAGCTCACAAGACTCAACAGCTTAGAGGGAGCATTGAATGGGTATCCTCACCATACAGATATTTTATGCAGAAGGTTTGGGGGAGAAAAACCCAGCAGGGTCAAGGACTGTGTAATGCAGGAAGTACATGTGCATTTGATTATTTTTTGTAACCTCCTACCAATGTTCCCTCTAAGCTGTGGAGTCTTGTGAGCAAAAATTCTACATTGTGAGCTACTGGAATTAAAGTTTTGAGCGAGCAATTTGGCTACTGCAAAAATTAGTTTGCTTTGGAGCCATCCTTCTTGAGCGAAGACAAAAAACTGTGAGCTGGAGGCTAAAACCTGTGAGCCAGCTCACACTAACTCAGCTTAGAAGGAACACTGCCTCCTACATAAAACAGCTGCCTATTGATAATCTACTCATTGCATCTGACAAAGTGAGTTCTGATACATGAAAGCATATGCTGGAGATAACATTTTGTTAGTCTTTTAGGTGCCACAAGCCACAATGAAGTAACACAGATACCTTTCTGGAATTAATATCCCTGCTTGTTTCACATTTAAAAAACCTTCATGTTGATTCCACCCGCTGGATTTATAGATAATATCCCTGCTTGTTTCACATTTAAAAAATCTTCGTGTTGATTCCACCAGCTAGATTTATTGATCCATTTATATTAACCAGTATTCTACCACTCTGTTCAGCAAAACTGGAAGTCTTCCTCAAGTCATGGAAACTTCCTCGAACTTAAGTTATTCTTCTGCTGGAAGAGGAAATGTCCTTATGATCAAATGTGTGGTGTGGTAGGATACAGGCTACTGTGTTGGTATACTGTACAGTTTTTATATATACAATTTACATGAGATTTATACCTTATTCATCACACACACACACAGAGAGAGAGAGTATGCAGTACCATTTGGATTTACTGATGCACAAAAATGTGAAGAAATGTGTAATTTTTTGAGGGGGGGTCATAGGGGAGGGGAAACCAACTGGCTTGGAAGTAAAGAACGGTGCATCCAATTTGCACCAGAGAAAGTGAAAATGAGGATTTGGGATACTGAACAACAGGGTTGAGAGCTTTGAAAGATCCCTTCTGCCAAGTTGCTGTATTCTTGCTCTTTAGGAGGAAGATGAAGAGCTTTAGGCTGCAACTAAAAAAAACACTTCCCTGGGAGTAAGCCACATGGGGGAAAATGGGGATGAACTTCTTAGACCTTCTTAGATTACTCCCTTATATTTCTTGAGTCACTGGAGAAATCTTGCTGCTACCATTCTTCTGCCATCAGCTGTCATATTAAGATGTATTGATTTGCTGACTAATGGTTGCATATTCTTTTATGATTCTTGGTTGCTAGCTGTGGGTGGGTGTGGGATCCACATTGCCAAAAAAGCAAGATGAAAAGACAATTGATCCATCAATTAATCCATATTTGTCTCTTAACAAGTACAATAGCAACACAGCAGCTTAGGGGCACTATGTACAACCCCGACCGATGCTGGGGGAAGATGATTATTTTGGTGCCTGTCCCTGTTCTTTGACTCATGCTGTATCTTGCTTTGCCTGTCCAGTACTTCAATCAAGCTGTCCAAACTTCTGGCTGTGTTTGTCAGCACTTGGCTCACTGCTGCAGGGTTTCTTCACTGGGTACGTATAGTGCCTCCTTAGGCAAATAGGAACGAGAGCTTTTGAGGCTCAGGAAGTGAGCCACAAACCTGGAGATCCTTGGTTCACATTTTGCTTCTGCTGCCTGTGTATCATCTGCATAACAGTAACAGAAAAAATACTGCTTTTCTAACACTATTTCTGTATATACATTTCCCCTCAAATTTCTTTTATCTCTGTCTTATCTCTAAACCTTTCAGCGTTTTCTTTCCTTCCTGTATCTTCTGTGTGGTGCTTTTTTGCCCTATTCTTCCACCAAGGATGGCAAAATAATTCACTTCATTTGAAGTTTCCACTGAAGCGCAAGGCAGATTAAAGCAATGTTAAAAAAACAGTATGATACATTCCATACACAATGCAATAAATCAATACAAATAATATAACAACACAAGAAAACATTTTCACAGATATTATGACTACATTGCCATTATAAAATTGCTCTCCTTCCCCATTTAATTCTCACAACAACCCTGTAAGGCAGGCATAGCTGAGAGAGAGAGTGAGTAGCTCAGGATTAAAAACTGAACTTCATGGCAGAGTGGGGATCTGAACACAGGTCTCTCAGAACCTAATCTAACATTCCAACCAGTATCCCATATTGCTTTCCCCAATATTTCATGTGCAAAGTAATGCAAGAAATAATACAGGAAAATGGACATTGCAAGCAGACTACAGTACTGTGCCATCACCAAAGCTAATTGTATCCCTAACCTTAACCTTAATCCTAATACAACCCTAAACCTAACTCTAACCCCATCCATAACACTAACCCTGTTCTCAAATTCTTTCTGTGGACCTGCCACACTTTCCACTCATCCCCCAGATGCTTACAGAGATTATCTGCCAAGGTGACCAACACTGTCTTGCTAACCCTAAATGCAACTTCTAAGCCTAACCCAAACCCAACTATAACCCTAACCCTAAACTATCCCATACCCTAACTTTAACTCTTACTCTTAGCCAAACAAAACCCCAAACCTACCCCTAAAGCATACCCTATTCCTAAACCTAACCCTAACACTAACCCTAAACAAAAACACTCACTAAACCCTTACTTTAAACCCTAACCTAACCCAAACCTAAACCCTAAACTTAAACCCTAACCCGAATCCTAAACATAACCCTAACCCTAATCCAAACCTTAACCAAACACTAACTCTAACCCTAGCCCTAGGGTTGCCAAGTCCATCTTCCACCCCCAGCGGGGGACTTTGGGGGTGTTCCTGGAGGGGGCGGGGCATCCCCGACGTGATGACGTCATGTTGGGGACGTCCGCCCCCCCCACCCGTGCGCCGGATCTCCAGAAACGGCAGTTCCCTGCACTTAAAGGAGCCGGCGTTTCCCTTTTAAATGCAGGAGCTAGCATTTCTTTTTTAAAAGCAGCTGTGTTTCCCTTTTAAGAGCACGAAGCTGGCATTTCCCTGCAAGCTTGCGGAGATCCGGCTTGGGAGGAAACACAGGTTCCACACACTTAAAGGGAGAGAGATGGGTGGCTGTGGGTGTTGGGGGAGGGTAGAACCCCCCCCAAAAAAAACAGGGGACCCCTGGCAAACCGGGGGGGTTGGCAACCCTACCTAGCCCTAATCTAACCCTAACCCAACTTGAATGGTTAAACACTAACCCTAACCTAAAACTAATTGCAACCCTAACCCAAAGCCTAACCCTAACCCTAACACTAAACCTAACCTTGAACTAACCCAAACTCTATCATAACCCTAACCCTAACATTAAACATAACTCCAACCCTTACCGAACCCTAACCCTGATCTAAATTTATCCCTAACCCAAAACCAAACCCTATCCCTAATCCTAACCCTAAAATAACCTTAATGCTAACCCTAACCCTAATTTAAACCTAACCCTAACCCAAAACCTAACTCTAATCCTAAACCTATCCTAACACTAATTCTTATCCAAATCTGAATCCTAACCCTATCTATAACCCAAACAGTATCCATAACCCTATCCTAACCCTAACCCAATCCCTAACCCTAAACTGTAACCCTCAGCTTAACCCTACCCAAACACTAACTCTTAACCCACCCTAACCCTAACCCTAAACCCTAAACACTAACCCTAACGCTAACCCAAACAGTAACTCTAACTCTAACCCTAACCCTTACACTAACACTAACCCCAAACCTAACCCAATCCCTACTCTTATCCCAACCCAAACCCTAAACCTTTCCCTAACCTTAATCCAAAGCCTAACCTAGAGTCCGGGTGAAACTGGCTCCAGCTGGAGCTTGGCCGGTAACCATGGCCTCTGCCCTGTTGGAGTCAGAAACACCAGGGTCGATGTCGTCTTAGGAACAGCTCCCACGTCAGCTGCAGTTACAGGCAGCGTGGTAGTCACTAGCACAGTTGACTGGGTCATGGGGGTCCCCTCACCGGTCGTGGTAGGAGTCGGGACCCCCCGGAGTCGTCCTTCTCAGGAATTGGTTTCTCCTCTCCGTCGCTCATCTCGGTTTTGGAGAGATGCGCAGATATAGAGAATGGAGGATTCTTAACAGAATGTCAGAACCCACAGCCAACAACAAAGTACACACATTCAGGAACGGTAATACTTTTATTGCAGAGCTATAGAATCAGTAACATAAGCACTGTTAAGAATGGCAGCGGCCCTATGGGCATAATAGGATATGGGGTATTTGTATGCACCCCCCCCCATAGCACAAGCCCATTAGGCACCCTCCCGCACATGGGATAAAGGTTGGAGACTGTTAAGTAGCTAAAGCTGAGAACCAACACTCTCCCACGGCACCTAGGAGAAACCTAGACAATACAACTCCCTCCTGCACATCTGTATAGATAAGCATTTCGGCGCAAAGCAGAACAAGCACAGAAAGGAATGCAGTAGCAATTAACCAGACACAGACTGAGCCCCCCAACCCCCATGGCAGCATAGCTGACAGTAGTTAGGAACCTATCTCTATCTCATCTCTTTCCTATCAAGTATGTTAATTCCTAAATAAACCTTTATCTAATTACTCTGCCAACAGACGTTTGGTTGATGTATCTCTCTGTTTTCAAATTGTTTGTTTCTTGTGCAGATAGAGAATTCTGGTGACCCCTGGGAAGATCTAACCAATTTCCAACACTTGAGTTACTTTGAGTGTTTATATATGGTTATGGTGACCATGTCTACAGTTGGATATGGAGATATTGTGGCCAAAACTACCTTAGGGCGTTGCTTCCTCCTTTTCTTCATCATTGGTGGACTGGTAAGATATATTTGTGTTTGGTAGGAATAGGCACATCCTCCCCACCCACTTTGGTTCTTATAAAATTTTTCTGTGTGCTTCATTTCAGGTCTCCTTAATTTGGGTTCAGCTGGTGGAATGTTTACAGTTGATTCTGGAATCAGAACATGCACAATTTGCTGTAGCTTTCATATTATTTTGTCTGTGTCTTTTTCCTGCTCTGTATTACTGCCATACACATTGATAAAACATGCCCAAAAAATAGAGCAATTTTGATGAGATTCTGAGGATCTAGCTATCTAGCTAACTAGCATCTTTCTCCTCTTTCACAAAGTTCAAGGCAGCACTCAAGGCACGCTTTCTCTTCTTTCACAAAGTTCAAGGCAGAATTCAAGGCACGCTGCCTCCATTTTATCCTCACAACAACCTTGTGAGGTATATTAGTCTTAGAAAAAGTGACTAGCTCAAGGTCACCTAGTGAACTTCTTCCAGTCTTCACATTAGCGCACCCTGGATGTACAGATTAATTGAAATGTCACGCAGTACGAGAAAACACAACTAAATTGTAGGGCGAGAATAAACAAATTGAAAGTTTCCAAAGTACATGAGATACAGAAAGGTACAAAAAAAAATGAGATGAATTCTACATCAAGAATGAAGTCATGCTCTGTTATACTGAGAGTACACTAAAATGCAATCCTATGTAGTTAAACCCTTCTAAACCTGTTGATTTCAATTGACATAACTCTGTTAAATTTACACTGTTAACCATATAACCAATATGTCTGAAGTGATATGTGATGGATGCCATTTGGGATCACTGATAACTGATGGTATGGAGAAAATTTCATAGATGAGATATGTAAATCAAAACTGGAGAGAAGCCATGGCTGGCCAGTGGGGGAAACCCCACCCCCCAAACAGTGATGTCACTGTGCGACATCCCCAATACAATGTTGTCACCTGGAAGTAACATCATTATGTCACTGCCGTCGGGGTTTATACTCACATGTTTGGGAAAACTCTATGGTTTTGAAGGCAAAAACCCATAGAGGTTTGCCCAAAAACTAGAATGTCACCCCCTGATGTCAGCAGCATGATGATGTCACTTCCGGGTGATGCCATCTCATTGGGGATGTCGCACAGCAACGTTCCTGTTTGGGGGTGGGGTTTCCCCTGACAGCCAGCTAGCAGGTGGGAGATCAAAGCCCTCAAAAGTGGGAGAACTCCCACTGGGACCTGGAGGCTGGGAACCCTAATCTCAAACTAGGTGATGTGAAAGACCTCAGCCTAATACCCTGGAGAGCTGGAGCATACAGTATTAACTTGACAGACCAAGGATCTGCTCCAGTATAGGACAGCTTCATATGTCCCAATATATGAAGTTTGTCAAACTTCATTTCTACTCCATATTTTTCTCTGTTACTAGGTGTGTGGCTTTGTTCTTATTATTTGTGGCACTGCACTGTTCACAAAACATCCTGTTGTAAGCTGCTCATTTACCCAGATTTAATGTGGATCTGGAAGAGTATACTTGAACCTGGGGAAATAATTGAACTTATGTTTCTGCTATCCTAGATGCTATTTGCAAATTTTATACCTGAAATAGCAGATATCGTTGGAAGCACTAAAATCTACAAAGGTTCCTATAAGGCAGTGAAAGGCAGAAAGTAAGTCAATTTCATTTTTATGTACAGTGAGATTTAAGTATATGTTGTGTGACCCTTGTTGGCATATCTTCCTGTAGCTTTCAGCAGCAGCGATCAAATATAAACATATGCCTGGTTTTGCCTATGAAGTATAAGCATGTGGAAACAGGCTTCAGCACATGCATCATGATCTAAATTAGGCATCATATACAAATGGGCGCCGAATATGTAATGCCATCCCATTCCAGCATAGCACCAGCCAGAAACTTATTGATCTAGTTTTTCAATTGCTAAGGAGAAGAAGTAACCCACCAGCTCCTTTGCCAAATAACTGATCAGTGTTATTGCTGATAAAAATTAGAAGATTTCATCATTCCATTCCTTTCCTCACCCACAGTTTTGCTAACTGTATGTATCTGATGAAGTGTGCATGCACACGAAAGCTTATACCCAGAATTAAATTTTGTTGGTCTTAAAGGTCCCTCTGGAATCAAACTTAGTTTTGCTAACTGTGAATTCTACTTCTCTTTAATGCTCTCACTAGAACTTCAACATGCACAGTTTGCTGTATCTTTCAGTTTCTTTCATTCATGTGCACCTTTCCATCCTGATGTTACTGATACACAATTGTGCAGTATAATAGATGGCCAAAAAAAGGAATATTACTGCAATGTGTGATCACATCAGGATTTTATGCAATGTTTTACTAATTCACATATCTATTCCAGTTCACTAGTAAAACATGCACACAAATTGCTTTAAGGCAGTATTTTAATATTGGTGCAAAAACAAAACACCAGTGAGCACTGGTAATGTAGTACAACTGAAACAAAACACCCGTGTGCATTGATCATGTAGAGCAACTCAAAGGTAGGCAAACAAGCACATACACAGCCCTTTGTACCAAACTGGGAAACAAACAAACAAAAAAGGAACAGTGATTAAATACTGGTTGTATCAGTTCTACTAAGAAACCAATTCAGATTCCAAAATGTGAAAAATGTAGTAGAGGATAATTTCAAAAGCATCCCTAATTTTTTGAAAGTCCTGGAACAATGGCACATATGTACAACTAGACGTAGATCCTAATATGTCAACTGTAAAATACCAGGGCTGTTCCCAAATTCTCCCTGGTTTTTCATTCTGATCATCCTGATCTTGTTTCCAAAGTAAAATCCCCAGGGTTTCTTAAAAAAAAAACCAACCAATTTTTTGACATAAATGTGTACATAAAACGATTGAAAAAAGCTATCCTGATGTGATTATATCCATTTTACCAATGTAAACACACCGCACATCAAGAACTTTGATACGATTACACACGCAACCACATTAAGATTGTTTCTTTACATTGTTTGCATACATCATTAACATAGTGGCTCAAATGATGCTAATGAATAGACGACCTGAAAGCTGTGGTAAAGTGTCCCTGCCAGAAATGTGCTGTTGGCATTGAGGGTCTGATGCATACAAGAGCCTTCTCCCCACCTGCAATGGCTTCATTTCAATGCAGAAGTTCTGTGAATAGATCTATTTACTGCAGCATCACATAAGTAGAGAAGAAGTAAAATTTGGGCTTCAGTGATAGGTATGCTTAGGGCTTTTCCATATGCTAATTTTCCTCACTTGTATGTTCCTGTTTCTTAGAAGGGAGGGGCTCTGTTTCACATGTTTTCCTCCTCCTAGTGCTCAATTTGATATGACACTGGTTTATGTCCAACATATCTTCCTGCAGATTTAAACTGCAGGTTTTTATGCCAGACATAAATATGTGCAATTCAAATCAACTACCTGAGAACAAAAAATGGTGGGCAATGTGGGGGGGGGGAATCCCCAAAGAAACAGGAACTTACAAGCAAGAGAAATGAAAATAAGGAAAAGCCCTTAGAGAGGAATAAGCTTATAGAATTCAGGAAGTTTACTCATGAGTAAACATGCATAAGGATGTTCCTAACACAGCTCACTGAAACAAAGAATTATTTGCATTAAATACTTGAACCATCAATTTAGCTATAAGGACCAGAGTAAGAACATAAGAGAATCCATGCTGGAACAGGCCAATGGCCCATCCAGTCCAACACTCTGTGTCACACAGTGGCCAAAACCCAGGTGCCTCAGGAGGTCCACCAGTGGGGCCAGAACTCCAGAAGCCCTCCCACTGTGACCTCCCAAACACCAAAAATACAGAGCATCACTGCCCTATACATAGGGTGCCATCAATACCTTGTGGCTAAAACCATTGATGGACCTCTGCTCAATATGTTTATCCAATCCCCTCTTGAAGTAGTAGTCATACTACATTTTTCAAACAAGAAAAGTAGCTAGGCACATTTCTTGTTTCTGCAGGTTTATTGTTGTTTGTGGTGATATCACTCTGAACAGTGTGACGGCTTTTCTGAGAGACTTCTTATGCCAGGACCCAGGAGAGATCACCACTGAGATCCTCTTTCTGGGAGAGTAAGTATCAGTTCTTGTCTGACTTCCTTTGATAATTTGACCATACTGCTTTGATTCCCAGGGAGATCATTTTTACAGCCACTGCCATCACTACTGTCATTCTTTGAAACCTAGTATGGAACTTTGTGGTTACAACAGGAGAAGAGGAAAAGAAGACCTCAGTGAAGGGCTAGAAGGGACCTCCATGTCTGGCCCTGCTACTTTGCCCCTGGTCCTACAAGTTTAGCTGGTCCACTCCCCTCTTTCGCAGCCTCAGATTGAGAGGAAAAGGGGTCCATGCACATTGCTTCCTTCTTTTCTTCAGTGCCGAACCTTCTTCTTGTTTCAACTGCTGTATAGTGTCTAAACCAGCCTACTGTCAGATTTTTCAACAAGGACATATTTTCTGTTAAAGGTTTTGTTTTTTCCTGTCAGGGAAAGAAACAGCCTCCAGTCAGGCTTTCTCTGACAGTAAGGGTGCTATGAATGTCACCATAAACAGCCTCCAGTCAGGCTTTCTCTGACACGGTGCTATGAATGTCACCACGAACATGTTTGACAGTCGAACTTACCATGTTTGAAAGTGTCGATTAGATGTGCGCTGATCACCTGATCTGTTTGGTTTGTGCCAAACAGCCGCCTAGTCTAGAGAAACAGATTGGCATATGTGCAAAACAGGTAGCCATTGCCATTAGTTTGCCAGTGCGGTGTAGTGATTAGGGAACAATGAAAAAGATGCATGTTTGTAGTTCTACACAAAACCTAAAGGCACTCTTCCACGCCTACTGTGTCCAAACATAGTAAAAAAAAATGGTTTAAAGTTAAATTTTACAACATCCCTATCCAACACTATATGGTTTGCAATTGTCTGACTCTGTGATGTGACCCTGGTATTCCTTGGAGGTCTTCCATCCAAATACTAACCAGGGCCAGCCCTGCTAAGGTTTGCAGATCTGATGAGATTGAGCTAGCCTGGGTATTCCAGGTCAGGGCACTTAACTATTACTTATTAGTTTTCACCATGGCCAACCTGAACTAAGTCCTCTAAAGACCATGCTCCCAAACCTACAAGCTAGCCTCAGGAGATATCCATGTCTTCTTGGTGTGGCCAAGGTGCAGCGGTTGTCATAGAGATCCGAGGGACAATAATAGACTTTGGATTCACTGGAAGGATTAAAAGAAAAGGCTAAAAAAAGAAAAGAACTGACCATGACATTGACTTGCTTGAGGCCTTTTCAGTTCAAGAAGCTTTAGCACCAGTGGTGGGAATTGATCCCCTACTCCCTCACAGTGTAAGTGTAGAGATTTGTTTTAATGTATACTGAATTTTCACTAATTAACATTTTCAGCATTGAAAAGGGGTTGAAGAGGGGGAGCAAAATATTTATCTGAAGTTAAACTAAACCTTTGCTCCATCGAGCCTAACAAATAGATACTCAAATGGCAGCAGTTTTCCTAAGTGCCACGAAGAAGTTCCTTTCCCAGCCTCAGTACCCGAGATTTTTTAAAAACAAGGGAACCTGAGCTCCTCTGCATTCTCTCGCTGAACTATTATTATTTTCTCTGGACCATTCCACAGAGCTTTCTGCCCTTAGTGGCACGTACATCAACACTATTTAAACACACACACCAAATAGTCTTCCTACTAGCTATGTGTTCCACTATACCAATGAATTGCTTCTCTATCAATATTTATCACATAGTGTTATCCATTTATTTGTTTAGATAGTTATAACTTGCTTTTCTCCCCCACTGAGGACCCAAAGTGGCTTACAACTTCATTCCCCCCTCCTCCATTTTATCCTTCCAGGAATACCCATGCGAAAGAGAGAGATGAAGATGGGTAGCCATGTTAGCCTGTCTGTAGCAGTAGAAAAGAGTAAGAATCCAGCAGCGCACAGTAAAAGTGAAGGAGGTTAAGCTGAGAGAGGGTGTCTGGCTGAAGGTTGCTCAGCAAGCTTCCTGGGAATTTGAACCCAAGTCAACCAGCTTCTACTCAGGCACTCTAACCAAGATGCAATATTGGCTCTTACAGGGCTCTGGGTCTGTCTTGAAATTAACATATAGATAACAGGGTTGTTGTAGAGCTCAAATGGAGGAGAGGAGAACAGTGTAAGCTGCTTTGGGTCACCATGGAGGAGAAAGACAGGATAATATCAAAGTAAATAAATACATAAATAAATATTCCTACAGGAAATTATGGTGATGATTATTATAGTGTCATTCAGTTATATGCCTCAAAGACGGTCTAAATTTTGACAGAGGGAAAGACAGCAATAGTGATGGGTGATAGAGGAGATGACAGATAGAGAAATCACTTGCTGTGTCTGGGAAATTTAAGCATGTTGACTGGTTCTGTCATTTAGAGGAAGAAGTGAACTACAGTGTTAGTGCACATGTCTGTCAGAGGACATTGGGGACATCAGTAGGAATGTTTCTTGTCCAAATACAGAACAGATTTGCAGTTCACGTTCTCTGCCAGAGTGCAACAGCAGTCCTACTAAGTTGTTCAAAGCACATAAACTCCAGAAGTGCAGAGGTAAACAGGACTGAGCCCAGTGGCCCCATCCCCAGATATGTGTGTACAGACTAATGTACAAATGTATGCACATTTGTTTTATGTTGGTAAGTAGGATCCTACTTTATTATGTGCTTGCAAAGCCCATGTGTGTACCCTTGTATTCATACAAAGATCCCTGTAGACATTCATCTAGGTGCGTAGAGGTTTGGAGAGATAAGTCATGATCCTGCTCTGTACTGTGTGTGCAGCATTGCAACAGCTTTGAACGTCAGAACAAGGCTAGTAGCACAATGCCATTATTAGGACCAATTAAAAAGCCGCAAAGAAGTGAACAAGCTTTCATGTTCATCAAAAGATTTTTATCAGGCTAGTTAGGATACAACAAAAGGAGAGTGTGGAGAAGCATAAGAAGGCTGGCATGATTCCGTAGCAGAGCATGTGCTTTGCATGCAGAACATCACCGGTTCATTCCCTGGCATCTCCACACAAAAAAGGAGCATCAGGTATCTGATGTTAAGAAGAAGAAGAGATTGGATTTATACCCCGCCCGTCACTACCTGAAGGAGTCTCAGAGTGGCTTACAGTCTCCTTTCCCTTCCCCTTCCCACAACAGACACCCTGTGAAGTAGGTGGGGCTGAGAGAGCTCATTTGAGAACTGCTGGTGAGAGAACAGCTCTGAAAGAACTTATAAGTGACCCAAGGTCACACCAGCAGCGGCTTGTGGAGGAGTGGGGAATCAAACTTGGTTCTCCCAGATTAGAGTCCATGCTCCTGACCACTACACTAAACTGGCTCTCTTTCTTCCTCATATTGGAAGTGGAGGACTATGCAGTGTTCCTTTGTACAGAACACTTCAGAGATGTCAACAGAGATAGCAAGGCACTTCTTTGTATCCTTCCCTTAGCCTGTTTTCTGCTTCCCTTGGTTTGCCTAGAACATTACTCTTCCTTCCTTCTGGCTCACGCCTTCTCTACCTAACAGCCAAAAGAGGAAGACGTGGTCTCTGTCCTAGCTTTTACTCTTCTTTTCCTATCCAGTATGGCGTTCTTGCACAATAAAGGACTTCTATTTCTTTTTATAAAACAACGAGTCTTGTGTGGACTTTATTTTGTAAGCCACATCCCCTTTCCCAGCACAAACAAAACTCTAAGCTACCACATAAGACCACTAAGGGCCACCATCACTCATGATAGACAATACTGAGCTACACATACCCATGGTCTGACTCAATATGAGGCAGCTTCATAAGTTCATATCATATCAGTGCTCAAACTGGCAAGGGCTGAGCACAATGGAGAGCCTATATCTGAAGTATGGAAGAGTTGAAGAAGAGGAGGAGGAGGAGGAGGAGATCGGATTTATACCCCACCATTCACTTAAAGTCTCAGAGCAGCTTATAAACTTCTTTCCCCTCCCCTCCCCACAACAGAGGTAGGTGGGGCTGAGAGAGCTCTTTCCAGAAGTGTCCTTGAGAGGACAACTCTGACAGGGCTATGACTTGCCCAAGGTCATCCAGCAGCTGCAAATGGAGGAGTGGGGAATCAAACCTGGTTCTCCCAGAGTCCGTGCACTTAACCAGTACACCAAACTGGCTCTTGCAAAGTTTTAATTGTTAGGCTATGCTTGCCACACACACAAAAAAAGCTCTCAAGAAGAGGGATGGACAATCTTTAAGTACACCAAAGAGTATTCCTTCTTCCAAGGCCTACTGATGTAGATATTTCAAACAGTGTTTAAATAAGGCAAATTTTACCGAATGAAAATTTTAAAACCTCCAATCTGTCTCCAAATACCTTTCCTATGTAGAACTGCCCCCGAACTGGAACTGGAAACTGTATTCAGATGCTATTCTGCCTATGCCACTTTCTTCCAAGGCTCAATACTGAAGAATGAAGATCTGCAGAGAGTTCGGGTAAGCCTCCCCTTTTTCTTCCCAAGAAATCCTCGAACCATAGATTTACTTCCATGGAACAAAAAAGAATGACATCTTCATTATCCAGAAGGGGCTGTGTTTTCTTTATAAAACTGATAGAGGCCATAATGGCAGAGAATAAGCTTGAAATGCATCTCCTGTTAAAAGGATCTCAGCATGATTGTAAATGACAGGGGCTCTGGAGAGCCACTGGTAGATGGGGTACATCATTTTACACAAGATGGTCCAGTGCTAGCCCAAGGGATAGGTTGTGGCTCAGGGATAGACCATCTGCATGGCATGCAGAAGGTCCCAGATTCACTCCTTTACATTTCTAGTGAAAAAGATCATGTAGCAGCTGATGTGACTCTATTAGAAACCCTGGAGAACTGCTGCCAGTCAGTGCAGACAATACTGACCTTGATGGACCAATGGTCTGGTCCAGAAGAAGGCAGCTTCATATGTTCATCTGCTCCTCTGAGTCATCTTCAAGTTACATTCCCCTGGAGGGAGAGCTTAGAGAGACAGACATCCAGACAATGGAAAGAAAGCCCGGGCAGTGATGCTCAGTATACAGATACTAGCATGATACTGTGACATGTTGGATGCCCACTACATACCATAAATTGCTTTTGTTCCTCAACTGAAGGGTTATGAAAGACAGTACACTTGAGAGCATAGTACAAATAACTTGCATCCAAGAAATGTGGGTTCATGTTTCACTTCTGCCATTGGCTCTGTCTACAAAATTGGGGTAACAGTGGCTTTCTGGCACAGGACTTTTGCAAAGGCAAACACAGGCCTTGATCACATGCAGAATTAGCTGCGCGAGAGGCACAACTGCTGGGTGGATTTTAAGGGCGCAATCACATGGGAACATCTGGCAAGTGTCCCGCACCCGTTGGCAACCCGTCCACCGAAGCAGCGGAGTTAAAAAATATCTGGGAAAGTGCAGTATCAAACGGATTTGTGATGGACCACAGATGGAGTTTCCCATGTGATCGCTCCAGCGCACTCCGATTGCATCACTGATCCTGCGATGAAGCGCACCAGAAAAAGTGTTGTTCAGTCGCACAGTCGAGTCTGACTCTTCGTGATCGCCTTAGGGCGGGTCAAATTGCGAAAGCGCAAATAGCCACACACACACCCTGCATTATCCAGCACATGTGACTGGGACCCTAATGAAGATTTTAAATTATGTCACACAAGGAAGATGTTAGATAATTAATTAACTGTTGACAAATTGAATGCTGAGTCGGCAATCCTGTGCACAGTTATTGGGGAGAAGATCCAATGGAATACAATTGTGCTTACTTTTGAAAGAACTCACATCTAACTGCGCTGTTATCTTACTTTCTTTCTGTCCCCCCCCCCCTTGGGAAACAGATAAAAGACGCTGATGCATGTCTCATCTTAGCTGACACATGTTCTCCCAGGCCCTATTTTGAGGACACTGCCAACATCATGAGGTAAGATAGGAGTGGTGGTCCTCCACCCCCAAATCTCTATTTTCATTCAAGAGGAGTACATAAAACCCAACCAAGTGGAATTTGATGCAGCCTCCATCTTGACCCTTTTACTGAGTATGCCCTGCCATTGAAATGGGTCTCAGTCAAAAAAGGGGGAACAAAAAACCTCAATAATGCCTCCTTTTGGACCATCATGATCTTAAAGAGAAATGAAAATTTTGGGTTGCTATGCTTTTTAAAAAATTAACAATGGTAGCTAATATCAGCCATGAGATAATTCAGTACCGATATTTTCATTGTTCACTGTTGGATAGTTAGTGTTAACGATGCACAATTTTCTGGCCCACTGATGAACAGCTGCATTTTTTTTTTAATGCAGGGTGTTGTCCATTAAGAATCGACACGCCAATGTCAGAGTTATAATACAGATGATCCAGTCTTCTAACAAGGTTGTATTACATTAAATATCTGTCTGTCTACCAACCTGGTATTTTTCATTGCAGAAAGTACAGTGGAGCTGGGAATTAAAACTGAACTCTTATGTCTTGTTTTTGTTGTTGTTTTTATATTGTACATTGTCTTATGGGCTTTGGAGTGTGTATAACTCTGTTTAGGATTGCATTGATAGATACTGCTTTAAATGATGTGGTTTGAACTTCTGTGAGTACTAGGGTTGCCAGGTCCCTCCAGGCCACTGGCAGGGAGATGGGGGGGTAGGATTGCCAGATCTAGGTTGGGGAACTCCTGGAGATTTGGAGGTGGAGCCTGGGGAGGACAGGGACCTCAGTGGTGTACAATGCCGTGTAGTCCACCCTCCAAAGCTTCCACTTTCTCCAGGGGAACTTGTCTCTGTAGTCTGGAGATGAGCTGTAATTCCAGGGGATCCCCATGTCTCACCTGGAGGTTGGCATCCCTAGTGAACACTGTGCAGTCAAATGACAGGCTTAAGAAAGTCTGCAATAGAAATCAACTAAATTCAAATCCAGTAGCACCTTAGAGAGTGACAAGATTTTCGGAATATAAGGTTTCGAGAATCAAAGCTCCCTTCATCAGAGGTCTGTCTGACTCTCAAAAGCTTACCCTCCAAAATTCTTGTTGGTCTACAAGGTGCTTCTGGACTCAGATCTAGCTTTTCTATTGCAGGCCAACATGGCTGCCCTCTGAAAATATAAATCAATAAATCCTCAGTTTTTAAACCTGCTGCATTGCCTTTAGTGCGTTTAGATCCATGGAGTTGGATTCAGAAAATGTTTTAAACAAAGTAATAAAGCAATACACAATATTGCTATGCTCCAGTGCAAGGATTCTTCTGCTGGTAGTGTATATACTATTCCATTGGTAGAAGAGCCTCTTTTATTAGCAGAAGGCTCCTTGCCCAGAGGAAAGCACTGCTGTTATCAGACTGGATCTGCAGGATCCAACACAGACTTAGATCATAAGCTCTGTGTCCACCCACACAACACCCATTTCTGTTGCGGAAGCAGTTCTCCAATGGCCAACATCATGGTCTCCTGGTGCTAGAAAACTTAGGATTGCCTTGCCAACCTCCAGCTGTGGCCTGTAGATGCCCTGGAATTATGACCCATCTCCAGACTACAGAGATCAGGTTCCCTGGAGAAGATGGTAGCTTCCAAGGGTGGGCTCCTTGGCATCATACCTCTGCTGAGCTCCTTCTCTGCCTTCTTCAGGCTCCTCCCCCAAATCTCCAGGGATCCTCCAAGCCATCATTAGCAACCTTAAGGAGCTCCCAATTATGGAAAACCAGCATGTTAATAAGTTGAAAAGCACCTAGCACCACAGGAAAGGGCTGCACAGTGGACGACCCCCTCTGCAAGCAATGAAGATGTTTGCAAATTGAAGCAAGGCTTAGGATTCAAGGCATAGTTTCAAGTGATCGTAAATTTTAATTTTTTTTATACAAATCCTTCAGAATGTTGCAATGTTGATCCTCCCCCCAAATACAATTTTTTGGTGAAATCTTTTACTCTCTAACCTGTAATAATTTTTCCCCTATTTTTTTCCTGGCAGGTCTACCTGCCTAAACTCCCCAACTGGGGCTGGAAAAAAGGCGATTGTATCATCTGCTTTGCTGAGCTGAAGCTTGGATTAATAGCACAAAGTTGCTTAGTGCCAGGTTTGACCACCCTGTTGACCAGACTTTTTGTTCGGGAGAGCACTCAGGTAGGTCTGGGGACTTGCACGTTGCTGCTGCACAGGACCAACACAGGTGTTTCGCTCCACAATTGAGTCCAATCTATCAAATGCTTTGTGCTTCTTTTCTCATTTACCTTCACTGCTAACCTGGATAGGTGAGATAAATCAACTGAGGTTTCCAAAATTAAACTCATGGAGCTTTCAAGCTCACATCTCTCACATTCAGATCCAATACAAGGTTCTTCAGAACAGCAAAGGGCAATTGAGGGCTCTAACAGACTAGATGAAGGCCAGGCAAGCCCGATCTCATCAGATCTCAGAAACTAAGCAGGGTCAGCTCTGGCAGATACTTGGATGGGAGACCTCCTTGGTATACCAGCAGTTGGGAGGTGGGGGCAGGCTTTATTCAGCCACCTCTCTGAATATCCTCCAGGACCCCATAGGGCTCAGTCACCAGAGGTCACCATGACTTCCAGGTGCACACACACTCAGATGCACATGGACACACGTGCACACATACGCACATATGAAAAATACAAAAAAAACCCACCCCAAATCCTCCAGACTAGATGAAGATTGCATATTTTGCTCCATCCATATTCATTTAAATTCTTGCAGCTTACACTGTCAGTCCCCCCACCTCCATTTTATCCTCACAGCAAATCTTCGAATCAGGTTAGGCTGAGACTGGTTGCCCAAGGTCACCTGGCACACTTCCATGACAGAATGGAGAGTCAAACTCTGGTCAAAGGTCCTAGTCCCACACTCCAACCACTATGCAACACAACAAGCATCTTCTTCAAAATGCTACGAGCAGAGCAAGAAGGTTTTTAATTGCAAAATCAAAAGGATATTGAAAACGGTTTACCAAGCCTATTTGGTGCCCAGGGTGGATAATTTTTTAACAACCACTCCTCTGGTGTTGTGTTTTGTTTTGTTTTTGCCATCAAATCACAGCTGAATTATGGTGACCTCCCCCCACATAGGTTTTCAAGGCAAGAGACGTTCGGAGGTGGTTTGCCATTGCCTGCCTCTGCGTTGGCCCTTCGTAGCTTTTGAGATCTGACGAGATCAGGCTAGGCTAGGGCTATCCAGATCAGGACCCCTCCTTTTATACGATAAAATTATTCTCAGTAATAATCATGAAATTAAAATAACAATAATAATGGCCAGAAAATAGATTCAAGTGGGTTGGTCTGAAGCAGCAGAACAAAGTTAGGTCTTAAAGGTACCACTGGACCCAAAGTTTGTTTCAACAGCCAGGAAAAAATGCAGCCAGTGAAAATTTTATTTTATTTAATTTTGAAAATATAATCACGCCATTAAAAAAAAAAATCGAACATGCTCTTCCATCACAAGAGCCAGTATGGTGTAGTGCTTTACGTTTTGGACTAGGATCTGGAAAATCCAGGTTTGAATCCTCACTCATGCCATGGAAGCTTGCTGGGTGACCTTGGGCCAATCACATTACTCTCAGCCTAGCCCTGACCTGGATAGCCCCAGGATAGTCTGATCTTAGGCCTGTTTTTGTTAACGAGCAACATGTGGCTCTGAGATGCCCCTTAAAGATTAAGCATGGATCTATTTTTTAACATAATTATTGTGCATTTTTAGTGTGTGTTTTGTCTGTATATTACCTTAAAAGCCTTGACTATGAAACAGTATAAATCTATGCATCTCAGTACATAAATCTGCACATCAGTAAAATAACACATTCTACAAAAAGAATCTTCATGTAAAGCATATGTATGATTGCATCAACTCTTTTTTTTTATAAATGTGCATGTATGCATCAGTAACACAGCTGGAAGAAAAGATGCAAATGAATAGAAGATCCTGCAAACTGCACATGTTGTGGTTGCAAAATTAATTTTAGAAATTCTCTGAGTTACACTAGCTTAAGGAAGAGTGGGACTCAGCAGGGAGAGAGAGAGAGAGAGAGAGAGAGAGAGAGAGAGATTCCAACTCTGGAGGGGAATTGGCACATAGCCCTTCTCAGAGACACCAGAAGAGCCCTCTGCAAAAAGGCTTAGTTATCCAGGCCATTTCAGCTAAACAGGAATCTACTCCCAATTAAATGTTGGGTCTAACAGGGTTCGAGAAAGACATATTTATAAAACATTTATCTATTGAAATGTACACTTATTTTAAAAGTCTATTCTTTATATTCTATAATGTAATTAAATTATTACATAAGAACATAAGAACATAAGAGACGCCAATGTTGGATCAGGCCAAAGGCCCATCCAGTCCAACACTCTGTGTTAATCACTCTTTGGGTGAAGAAGTACTTCCTTTTATCCGTTCTAACCCGACCGCTCTGCAGTTTCATGGAGTGCCCACGAGTTCTTGTATTGTGAGAAAGGGAGAAAAGTACCTCTTTCTTTACCTGCTCTTTCCCATGCATAATCTTATAAACCTCGATCATGTCACCCCTCAGTCGTCTTTTCTCCAAGCTAAAGAGCCCTAAGCGCTTTAACCTTTCCTCATAGGGAAAGTGTTCCAACCCTTTTATCATTCGAGTTGCCCTTTTCTGCACTTTTTCCAAAGCTATAATATCCTTTTTAAGGTGTGGTGCCCAGAACTGCACACAGTATTCCAAATGAGGTCTCACCATTGATTTATATAGGGGCATTATTATATTGGCTGATCTGTTTTCAATACCCTTCCTAATAATCCCCAGCATAGCATTGGCCTTCTTTATTGCAGTCACACACTGTCTCGACATTTTCAGTGAGTTATCCACTACAACTCCAAGATCTCTCTCTTGCTCAGTCTCTGCCAGTTCAGACCCCATCAATGTGTATTTATATTTAGGATTTTTGGCTCCAATGTGCATCACCTTGCACTTGGCCACATTGAACCCCATTTGCCATGTTGACGCCCACTCGCCCATCCTTGACAGATCCCCTTGGAGTGCCTCACAATCCTCACTGGTTTTCACCACCCTGAACAACTTTGTATCATCCGCAAATTTAGCCACTTCACTGCTTACTCCCATCTCCAAATCATTTATGAACAAGTTAAAAAGCAGTGGACCAAGTACTGATCCCTGCGGTACCCCACTGCTTACCACCCTCCACTGAGAAAATTGCCCACCTACACTCACTCTCTGTTTTCTATGAACTAGCCAGTTTTTGATCCATAAAAGGACTTGTCCTTCTATCCCATGATTTTTGAGCTTACTTAGGAGCCTTTGATGAGGAACTTTATCAAAAGCTTTCTGGAAGTCAAGGTAAATAATATCTATTGGATCCCCCTTGTCCACATGTTTGTTCACCCCCTCAAAGAACACTAACAGGTTAGTGAGACAATATAAATTCTATAATATATAAGGCACATCAGTGAAAGTTGTCTTTCTTAGTTTGTTCTTTTTGTCCAGTACTCTATGTTTCCCTTCTAATAGTCCAAATTTTCTCTCTCTTCCCCTTCTCCCTCCTGATCCCATTTCATTTATGGGGACTGCCTTTCCCCATATGTTCCCCAGAGAGCACTGTGTTCAGAGGCCCAAAACTGGCTGGCCATCCCAGGCCCCAAAGATGCCAGGCTGGCGATAACCAGGGCCAGGGCCTTCTCAGTGGCAGCTCTGTACTGGTGGAATGAGCTCCCGGAAGAGATCAGGGCCCTGCAGGACCTCTTACAGTTCCGCAGGGCCTGCAAGACAGAGCTCTTCCACCAGGCCTTCGATTAGGAGCTGCAAAAAACACCTGAGGAGTGACCCTGTGCCCTGGCCTTACCACCTTCAGCCTGTCCTTGCCACACAACTAAGTAGATCGACTGAGCTGGTTCAGAATACCATCATTGACTGTCACCTATGGAGTACTGTTTAATCTAGAAATCTCTGCTCTATTCTCACACTTTATCTGAGTATTGTTTCTGCACTCTAGGACAACTGATTTGTTTATGGCTGCTTTTTGAATGATTTTAATTGTATTTTTATATGTATTTTTATGTAAGCCGCCCTGAGCCTGCTTCGGCAGGTTATAAATTGAATGAATGAATGAATGAATATACAGTCTTCACTTAAGAAGTTTATCTCCATTTCCCCCCAATGGTGTCCCATACCACCCTGACACTCATTTAGGGTTGCCAAGTCTTTTTTACCTGGCGGTGGGGGGCTCCTGCCCGGCGTCCTGAGTGCATGTGCGTGCGTGAAGCGTGCGCCACCCGGATGTGACTTCATGACGCCGGGCACGCTGGGGGCGGGGCCACAGCCATTTGAGGGGAAAACATAGAGTTTTCCCCTCAAATGGCTGTGTCCCCGCCCCTAGCATGCCCGGCGTCATGACGTCACATCCAGGTGACGTGCACATGGGGGTGGGGTTTCCCCCGGGGCCTGATTCCATGGGGGTGGAAATCGGGCCTCCAAAGCGGGGGGAAATCCACCCCTCGGGGGGACTTGGCAACCCTACACTCATTGCCTTGACTCTCAGTGGAGAATCCATAGACAAAATGGAAAAGCTTTCTGGTCTCAGCTGGGGGGGGACTCAAGAGTGATAGTATCCTTGACAATGCAAGACAAAGAATCATATCAAAGACTGTTAGATTGGCATGAATGAAATGGAGGAAACATGTCCATTCCCTGTTTTAATACAGGTCTATTGTTACCGTGTCTGTTTTGGCCCTTATACACTCTCCAAACACATTAAAGAGTTCAGTCTCTGTCAGCCCACTGAAATCAATAGATGAGATGGGTGTAACTCAGGATTCCTCTGGATGTCCATCAGAAATTCCAATACCAGTCACCAACTAAGACTCATCTCACAAATGTTTTATTGCAGACAAAAAACTTTTTACTTGGACATTGGCATGAAATACAAGGCATGGATTATAACGTGCTGACTGGCTATCTCTCCAATGATTTTATTGACATGACTTTCCAAGAAGTTTGCCGGTAGGTGGTGGTTTTTCCTCAACCTTCATTCCTTGATTTTCTCCTCCTTTTTTCAGTTTGTTATGTAGTCACTAGCCTGATAAGCTTACTTGGCTTTTCAGACCATGGACTAGTTGATGAGCCAGATATTATTACTGAGATATAAAGTATTCCATATTCCACAGTCCTAACTATGGGACTGCCTCATTTAAAAGGACCTGGCAGTAGGCAATGTGAAAGACTTCTACCTGAGACCCTGGAGAGCTGCTTCCAGTCTAAACAGACAATACTGACCTTGATGGGTCAGTGGTCTGATTCAGTAGAAGGCAGTTTCATTTAAAGACAGAGATTCAAAGAAAAGAGTAAAAAATCATTGCTTCCTCATGACCAACAAAGCCTCTGGAATCCACATGCCAAGACTATTTAGTGTCCATGGCTCAGCTCAGACATCACCAAAACCAAGGCTTAATTAAACTCATGATGGTTTGTGTGATTGTCCAAATGTGGGCCACTCTACTATCCAGGGGTCATTTTGTAGGAAAAGAGGTGCAGGGGCTCATTAGCATAACTTATTTGCATATGCCACATCCCATGACATCACCGGAAGGGTGTCAAAGGCTACACCCACTGCACCTTACCTATCTGCTTCTTGCTCCTCATGGCCCGGGGCTGATGGGAGCAGGGGACGGGGCTTGTTGTATGTGCCCGCCCCCTGGGCTCTTTACTGCCGGAGCTCTGCTCCTGTGCGCTCCTGCAGGAAATGACCCCTGCTACTGTCTATGGTTAGGATCAATGCTCCCTCTAAACTGTGGAGTCTTGTGAGCAAAGAATCTACTTTGTGAGCTACTGGCATTAAAGTTGTGAGCGAGCGATTTGGCTGCTGCATAAATTAGTTTGCTCTGGAGCCATCCTCCCTGAGCTAAGACAAAAATGTGTGAGCTGGAGGCTAAAAAACTGTGAGCTAGCTCACACTAACTCAGCTTAGAGGGAACACTGGTTAGGATATGTCATACCATAATCTTGGTTCACTCATTCCCCAGTATCATCCTTACCACAGAGAAGGCAGGAACACAGGTGGTAGGGGAACACAACACAGTACCAGTGCTGTTCTGCCACTTGTGGCATGGTTGAATTGCACCTAGACTCTTCCTATCCCTGTGAAGACTGGCATTGCCAAAGGCTTAATGGCATTTAAGTCTTCAAAAGAAGAGGCAGCAATTTCCACTCATTTCCAAGTTTTGCTGCCAATCACCACTTTGTCCTAGGTGCTATTCCTGAGGGTCTGCTGGATTCCTAGGACCAAAGTGGGAGGGGGCTAGCATGCAGCAAGAGAGACGTCACAGAGTCCTGTTCTGTACCACTGTGAAGCCCCTTTCTTGAAAAGCATTTATCCATCATGCTAGGAATCACCAGGAGGCCTATTCATGACTATTGTGTTTCAAAAGCCAGTAACTCTAACCCTGTTCCTCCTTGCTTATTTATACATTTCTATGTTTTTCACTTGAGCTGATCTCTTTCCTAGAATATGCTTTGTGAGGCTGAACCTCATTCTGCTTGCTGTCCAATTCAAACATGGTCTTCATGCCAATAGGTAAACAATGGAACACTTCTTTTTAAAAATTGGGTTCAAACTGGAGAGCCAGTTTGGTGTAGTGATTAAGAGTGTGGACTCTAATCTGGGAGGACCGGGTTTGCTTCCCCACTCCTCCACATACAGCTGCTGGGTGACTTTGGGTCAGTTACAAGTTCTTTCAGAGCTGTTACGTAAAGGGCAGTTCTTAAGAGAGCTCTCTCAGCCCCACCTACCTCACAGGGTGTCTGTTGTGGGGAGGGGAAGGGAAAGGATATTGTAAACCACTCTGAGACTCCAATCTCTTATCTCTTCTTCTACTCATCCTTCCCCCCAAAAAAAGTCTGCAACCAAAGCTACCTGTGTGCAACTTGAACTGTTGTGTATGGGCTACTAGTGACTCAATTGTCATGAGGATGCTTTAGAGAGATGCTACCAGGGTGGGCTGGGGGTCTATGAAGGTAGCATTGAAGGGGAGACACATGGGGGGGGGCATGAAAGGATTAAATTTTGCTCCAAATCATTCTTCCCCCAAGCTGTTTTTCCTTTGATGGAAGAGCTACTACAGTTGGCCAAGGGACTGTATGTGTGTAAAGTGCCATCAAGTCACACCTGATTTACCACAGCCCTGTTGATTTTTTAAGGAAAGATACGTTCAAAGGCAGTTTGCCATTACCTGCCTCTGCATAGCAGTCCTGGACTTTCTTGGTGGTCTCCCATCCAAGTACTAACCAGGGCTAAGCCTGTTTAGCTTCTGAGATCTGGCACGATCAGGCTAGCCTGGGCCATCCAGGTCAGGCCAGCCAAGGGATTAGCAAGCACAGAAAGTTGTCTTTCCATAAAAACCATCTTACCTTGTAAGCAAGCAAGTTGTCATCACTCAACATGGGTGTTTACAGTAAAAAAAAAAGTGATGATAAAGTGGCACTGATTTTTGTTTTCATGTTTGTCCACAGCATCCTGATCAATCCACCTTCAACTGTTAAAATCCAGTACAACACGATGGGCTTTTTCATTGCCAGAACTTCAGCAGAAGTCAAAAGGTACCTTCCTTAATTACTTGCATTAAAACTTTTCTTTTAAAATCTAGTAGAGGGTCTTTGATATAGCTACAAGTGGGTACTAAGGAAGTTCAGTCAGACTTTAACTGATCAAAACCCTCACCGCATATACATCCCATCAGAGGTCGATTCGGGGGGGATCAAGGGGGATTGCCGTTCCCCCGGGTGAGGTCTGGGGGGCGGGGCACATGACGAAGCCCCGCCCCCTGCTTCTGGCTGCCCCGCTTCCGGCCCTCATTCAGCCAGGAGGAGGGAGGAGAAGAGGGAGGGTAAGTTGCTTCCTCCCGCCTCTCCCCACCCCTGCCTGCCTGGGGCCAGGGAGGGCCTTGGCGGGGGCAGGGGGTGTGGCCTTATGACACACTTCCGGTGATATTAGGGGGTGTGGCCTTATGACACACTTCCGGTGATGTCAGGGGGTGTGGCATATGCTAATGAGTTATACTAATGAGTTCCCCTAGCTCTTTTTCTACGAAACGACCCCTGCATCCCATTCATAACTAATCTGAATTGGAAAATTCATGTCATAATATCAGATCTGTCCATTATTCTGGTATCTGTCTGTCTGTCTTTGAAGTGGAGTGGGTACAGGCAGGAGGAGGAGGAGAGGAGATTGGATTTATACCCCACCCTTCACTACCCAAAGGTGTCTCAGAGCGGCTTACAAACTCCTTTCCCTTCCCCTCCCCACAACAGACACCCTGTGAGGTAGGTGCTCTGACAGAAGCTGCTCTTTTTCAAGAGCTGCTCTTATTAGAACTATGGCTTGCCCAAGGTCATCCAGCCAGATGCAAGTGGAGGAGTGGGGAATCAAACCCGATTCTCCCAGATTAGAGTCCGCGCACTTAACCACTACACCAAACTGGAGACAGTGACTCATCAGATTTCTAAGCAACAGGGACATGTTCCAATTAGTACAGTTATGCCACCAATCTGGCCACCTATGAGTACTGTACTGATCGTTCTCTCTTGTACTTTTTTACATCATTCACTGGTCTGAGAGAAGAGCAAGCTTTGATTTGAACATATACAGCACAATGGCTCTTGTTTGTTTGCTGTTCTTAATGGGACTGTGTACTAGGCAAAGGAGCAAATGCTTTGTTTGCACATGCTGGCAGACAGCAAGGGAGGAATGGAGGCAAACATGTGGGCAGTGCAATCTGTAAAAGAGGAAGATAGAAAGAGAGCCTAGCAGCAAGACCAGATAAGACAAATAGATCAGTGTTGGGACTGGAATCTGAGAATTGTCCATGAAGTTAAAAACACCCGTGCTGTTATTTATTTTATTTTCTATTTATTTATATTATTTAAACCCCACCATTCTTTCCCAGTGCAGAGCCAAAGTGGCTTACATCATTCTCCTCTCTTCCATTTTATCCTCACAACAATCCTGTGAGGAAGGTTAGGCTGAGAGCATGTGACTGGCCCAAGGTCACCCAGCAAGCTTCCGCGGCAGTATGGGGATTTGAATCTGGGCTTCCCAGATCCTAGTCTGACACTAATATTTTCTCTTGCATTCAGCAGTAAGGGGGAAAATGTCTTATTTTAATAAGATCAATCATCTACCATTAGAGAGAGTTCCTGGACTGAGCACCTCTATGTCCTAATGTAGCATCTAGCTGGGAGGACAGACTGGACTGTGCTTCACATACTAATAATAGCCAATAATGGATAGTAACATGGCATGTACTTTTGTTGGCTGAAAAATATAGGGGAAAAAGATTCCCACTGCAAGCCTAATTCAAGATCTGCAGTAGTAGACATGAGCAGAGGTTCTCTTTTTTTGTTCCTTTGTTTATCATAAATTTCAGTCTGCATTGAGTTCCACTGAACCTTAATTGCAGTTGAATTAGAATATTTTTCTAACATTTATTCCAGAGGGGCGCATTTAGAGTTTGCTTCAGTTTTCAGTTTCCCTTAATAAGTATCATTTTTGCCTTCTACATTGCCAAAGCAGATGTGTGCATTGCTGAAACACTGCAAAAATGCATGTTTTTTGCAGTGTTTTATCAAAACATATAATGCGAGTCAATAACACCAAAAAGTAGGAAAATGGTATATGAACAGAAGGATAATGTTGTGGCAAAGTATGTATATACATTGCTTAGGACTGCCAACATTTAAACTGGTTCCCCTAGTTGTCTCTTAAATAACCCTTTGATTTCTAGCAAATTACTAAGTGCCAACCTACCAGAAATCTGATCTTTTGCTCTCAACAAATAGCACTTTGTGCAATATTATCCATTCTGCATTCTCATAACTGTTGTCTGTATGGTTAACTTTATTCTCTTCTTCTGTTGCCCAGGGCTCGTTATTACTGTAAAACCTGCCACAGTGACATCAGTCATCTGGACACTGTTAGAAAATGCCATTGTGAAGCAAAATCCGTGAAAAAACCACCCCCATTGTTACCTTCTGGTAATTTTTTTATAGAACTATATTTCAGAGAGGCCTAGACACATATCAATCAGGTACCAGGCTTTAATCAGCCTTCTTCTATATGTAGGACATGCAGGCCTGGTGACAAGAGGGGCAGAAAGGCGGCTATATGGTATATATGCACAGGTTTTCCATTGGAGGTTGTGTACCCCCTTCATTGCTAGACAAGGCTTCTACATTTCCAAATGGGGCTTCAAAAATGGCACGGGCAGTGAGCAATCTCCTTATAACCCACAGACACTTCCAGAACTCTCTTGCCAGGTACCTGCCTTTAACAGCGCAATTCTGAACAGAGGTCAAGCATTCAAAGGCCACTGACATCTGAAACTCCCTATGGTTGCCTGAAATTGCCTATGGTTACCACCTATCCAGCTGCTGGAGCTAATACAGAAAGCTATGTTGCCATTTTAGTTACACTTCTAATCTGATTTTTTAGAATGTTTAATCAAATAATTGTTTATCTTATAAATGAAATGTTGATGTTACCTGCCCTGAGTCGATGTGCAGGAAGAGAGGGATACAAATGTAATAAATAAATAAACCAAGGGGCTTGGAAGGATGCAACTCTGTTCTGGATTGCATTGTTAGCGTCTATGGGAGCAATGAGCAGCAGGTCTACTCAAGTCTACCCAAAGGGCTTCCTGCTAGGAAAGTTTTCTTCAGATTTCACATGCTGCGCATGTCTGCATTAAGAAACACAGAAATTGAACAAGAACAGGGTTGTTGTGTTTTGTTAACTTCAGACTCATTTATCTTAAATCAATGAGTATAAATTATCCCTTACCACTCAAAGTATCCTGGCATGCTTACAATCATAGCAGTAAAAGGCATATCCCTCCCTCCCCCCAGTAATTAAGTGTGACAAAGACAAGAGCAATCCTGAAAGATTTACCCTGAGGCAGGAGGAATCTTTGGTGGGCAAGGCTCTTGTTCTTTAAGCAGAAGCTGACGTGTCACAAGTTTAAAAAACATATTTTCAGAGTGGGGAGGCTTAATGGATGGAATCAAAGTTTCTATTTGGGGCGGTTGTCTTCTCATGGGCCCTTACCTTGCTCAGACTCTGGCCTCAGAGATGGCTGGCCCCTCAGCAATTCATCCAGTGTTAATTACAGAGTACACAAAGGGAGCTTTCAGCATCTGACTCATGAAGGTTATGCTGGAATAAACTAGGTTGATTTTAAAGGGGCCATTGTGTCTCTGTGTTATGTTCCTACAACAAACTAATACAGCTGCTCTTTTGAGTTTTGAAAGGGTAGGGTTGCCAACTCCGGGCTGGGAAATACCTGGAGATTTGCAGGGTGCAGTTTGGGGAGGGGACAGACCTCAAGATGGTATAAATGCCATAGAGTCCACCCTCCAAAGCAAACATTTTCTCCAGGAGAACTAATCTCTGTAGTCTGGAGATAGTTATAAAAATGGGAGATCTTTAGGTTGCTCCTGGAGGCTGGAAGCCATAGGAAGGGTAGAGCTTTCCACTTAGTGTCATGGGGTGAAAAGGTCACTCCATAAGATTTTAAGGGGGGATTTAGTACAAAGAAACAGAAAATAATGGAAAAATCAAGAATCACAGTTTTTTAAAATCAATTTCTCATCATCGTTTCTCGGCCTTTGGCTAAGATCAAGTGTAGCATACGTTATCTTGATTATACAAAAAGGAGATTTACAAATATGCTCCTATTTTTATCTGGGCAAATAATAGTGGGAAAACATAGATTTTAGGGGGGGGGGAATTAGTACAAAGAAACAGAAAATAGTGGAAAAACCATGAATCACAGGTTTGACTCTCACATTGACTAAGAAATTAAAAAGGATCTTCTTGCTCTCATATTTCAGAAGTCTTATGAAAATCCTTTTTGCCTTCCATGAGATTCCTGTTTTATTTTGCCCTGCACTATATATATATCCTTCAAATTTTTGCTAGGGGGAATTCTAAAGTTATGTTAAGTAAACAACTAAAGCTGAGTAAGCAAAGAAATAGTTGGGGGTACGGCAGTGGGAAAGGAAAGTGAATGAATTATTTCTTTGGGGTCCGATACCAGCATTGGTATTGATGGTGAAAGGAAAGTCCGATGCTGCAAAGAACAATACTACATAGGAACCTGGAATGTAAGATCTATGAATCAAGGTAAGCTTGACGTGGTCAAAAATGAGATGGCAAGACTGAACATCGATATCCTAGGAATCAGTGAACTAAAGTGGACAGGAATGGGCGAATTTAACTCAGAAGACCATTATATCTACTACTGTGGCCAGGAATCTCGTAGAAAAAATGGTGTGGCCTTTATAGTCAACAAGAGAGTGCAAAAGGCAGTACTGGGATACAATCTCAAAAATGACAGAATGATTTCTGTCCGATTCCAAGGCAAACCATTCAACATCACAGTAATTCAAGTGTATGCCCCAACCACTGATGCAGAAGAGGCTGAAGTGGACCGGTTCTATGAAGACCTACAACACCTCCTAGAACTAACACCAAAAAATGATGTCCTCATCATCATAGGGGACTGGAATGCTAAAGTAGGAAGTCAAAAGGTAACTGGAATAAC